GGGTGGTTCTGTACTACCGCAGTGACCTCCAATGTGAGCCCATAGAAGACGTGTACAGTAACGTGCAGGATACTCTTTGGTGTCGGCTGCGTTTACCGGGCAACAACGTCTGTCTGGTGGCGGTCGTTTAACGACCTCCATCCTCTACACCCGAGATGGACTTCAATCTCGCGTCTGCGCTGAGGCTTGTGATCAGCAGGAGATACAGCCATATTCTTATCGCTGGTGACTTCAATATCCACGCTCTGGATGCCCAAGCAACACCTACGGAACAGTTCAAAGCGGATTTACAAGACCTTGTCTCCAGTTTTCCGCTTTATGGCCATATCGACAATCCCACCAGATTCAGAGCAGCAGAAAGGCCGTCTATCCTGGACCGGATATTTACCAACGAAGAACTCATGGTCGAGAAAGTAATTATCGACGCTCCTTTGGGTTGCAGCGATCATGCAGTTTTACTCTTGGATTATATATGCTACGCAGAATACCCTGCGGATACTACACGGGAAAGCCGAGTTATCATACGGTACGATGAGCTGGCTCGACTTGCAGAGACAGCCAACTGGAACTTTCTGACAGACGAAGTACCGACAATCGCATGGCCACATTTCGTCAACCAATTTAGCACTCTCGTCAAAGAGGCATCCGAAACTAAGGTTGTCCACCCGAAGAAGACTGTTTCATTTGTGCGAAATGTATGGCAGTGAGGAACTCGGTCTGGCGTATCTATAGGGAACACCCGAGCACGGAGAGCTGGACGGCCTACGCAATTCAACGTAATCATTGCACTCAACTCATTCGTGAAGATAAACTGACATACCAGCAGCATCTGACGGAGCGCATGGTTTCGAATCATAAGCTGCTCTACCAACATGTAAACAACCTGCGCAAGGTGAAACGGGGAATCCCTCCCCTTCAAACGCCAGATGGCATGACGCTGACTACGGAGGATGCGGCGAACGCCTTGCGGCTGCAATATGCTTCGAACTTTCAATGCATTCCTTGGCCATCTGTTCCTTTGTCAGCAGCTGTTTTACAACCAAAACTTACGCACATAACTTTCACGGCGGGGATGGTATTAAAGTTGTTGTGTATGCGTAAGCACAGCTCTCCTGGAATCGACAACATGCACCCTAAGTCCCTTGCGGTAATGGGAGAAAGTTTAGCAGAGCCTCTGGCACGATTCTTCCAACGCTGCTTCGATCAGATGTATGTACCCGAGATGTGGAAATGTGGGATCATAACCCCAATTCACAAGGGCAGTAGCCGTTCTGATCCAGTCAACTACCGTCCTGTAACCCTTCTCCCGGTCCTGTCAAAGGTTATGGGAGCTATTGTTGCTGACGTATTAACAGCCTATCTAGAAGAGTCTGTCTTCCTTGCACATGAACAGCATGGTTTTCGACGGAATCGATCGTGCACCACAAATCTGCTGCTAGCAAGATCGAGTTGGAACAAATTAATTGACAGCGGTGCAGGAGTGGACGTGGTCTACCTAGATTTCTCAAAGGCCTTCGATCGACTAGACCATGGAATCCTGATCTGCAAACTTCAGAGCTTCGGCATTGGTGACCCGCTCCTAGGATGGATCACAAGCTTTCTTCTCCACCGGAGCTTAGAGGTAAAAGTGCGTGGGTCCCTGTCCCACCCAATCCAAGTCGAATGTGGTGTACCACAAGGATCGGTACTGGGGCCACGATTGTTTTTGATGTATATTGACGACATAGCGGCCCTCATTCTCTCCAACTGCCTACTCTATGCCGACGACATCAAGGTCTGGAGAGCGATCAATACACCAGACGACTCCGCAATACTTCAAGAAGATCTGGATAAGGTGTATGCGTGGTCAGTTCAGAACCAACTCCCACTCAACACAGAAAAGTGCAGAGTATTACACTTACGTCACCAATCAGCATTTTTCTATAAACTGGGTGACCATGTGCCTCACACAACTGCTGAAGAAAAGGATTTAGTAGTCATGACTCAACCCGACCTTGGTTGTTCAGCCCAGGCAAAGAAAGCATCGAACGCGAGCATTCAAAATTTGGGCCTTCTCCGGCGCACATTTGGACGCTTCGATCCATCCGTTTTTCACTAACTTCTAGGTGCATACATACGACCACACGTGGAGTGTGCAATACAAGTCTGGCAGCCGTGGCTGAGGAAAGACCTCTCTGATTTAGAGAAACCTCAACGACGCGCAACGAAGAACGTGAAAGGTTTGGGCCAGTTACGCTACGAAGACAGAATGAGATTGCTCGGGATATTTAGTGGTCAATATCGACGACTACGGGGAGATTTGATTTTGGCTTATCAGATTCTGACAGACCCCAATCATACCTGCCGCCATCTGCTGGAGCTCAGTAACAACAACAATCTGAGAGGCCATCATCTGAAGCTGGCAGTGCAGTACAGCCGTTTGGAATGTCGACGGAATTTCTTTTCCGTGCGTGTTTGCCAAGCCTGGAATGCTCTCCCAGAATCTGTAGTCAGTGCACCCAACCTGATCGAGTTCAAAAATCGAGTTGATAGTTCACTCACTTCATTGCACTACCTCCCATAGTACAGTCTAATTTTGAGAGATCCAAAATCCATACTTTAAAAATAATTATCCTCCACGCAAATTTCAACAGTGGACTTATATTTTGACGCTTCAAACTCAATCACTTTGCCCCATGCGAATTTCAAGGGGCAGTGACTCTTAACCAAATACTCCATACCTCATGAACCCCTCCGGAGTTATAGTGGATTATTATTTTGACACTTCAAACTCGGTGAGTCCACAAGCTTGTAGTGACTCGCTGTTATTCGATTTTACTGAATTGGTTTCCATTGAATTTTTCACACTTCTATGATTTTCGCACTGATCACCCTACGGGATTTGTTAAGCTTTAGCTTTTATACCCGCATAAATCCATTGTTCCATTAGTCTCCGGCAAGAATGACTATATCCGTCCTTTTGGAGGAACGCAGAAGTTTATGTAGCTGCTGGTAAAAACTATCCTTGACTGCCGTCTGTAGGAGGAAACGACAAACAAGGCACGCTTAACATCTCGACGTCTGCTTACATTACATGAACCTCGTAGTCTGACTGCAAATAGCCGACTGTTGACTGGGATCTAGTCAAGCAGAGCTGATTCAGCCCTGACACTCAGTGCAACCCCAACACCAGCTTGGCTAGAGGCGGCAGCTTCTGGGTCTCGGGAAAGCCGTAGGTGATATTTGGCATCAGGGTTTACCGGAGAGGCCATTCTGATGATCGCGCTAGTTTTGTAATCTGGTCTCTGAAAGACAACAGATGTCTACCGATAGCGTTTCAAGAGTACCGGCCAGACATGCTTGTCGTCTGATCTGCATCAAAGTTCGAACATTAAATGTTGCGAGGATGAATGGAGAATCAGGTCGAAAAAGAGCTGGAGCTTCGGTGGAGTGAGATACGGTTGCGATCACAGGACATTGAAAGCCGGGAGTTTGGCTGTTATTTCTATCAGTTGCGGGAAGTTGGTCGTTTGTGACGGTGACCGAAGACGTAAGAGTACATTTAGGTGAAGGACGAGAGGTGGGGTGATCTGTGAGTGTAGGTTGAATTAGCAGATATGATAGGTATAGCAAAAGCAGTAATAAGCAATGTGGCCCATGATTCGTCAGGGAACGTGATACTACCTGGTTGCCCAGGCCGAAGTAGAGGGTTGTCTTAAGGGCCCTACTCCGAGCCTTTTAGCAGAGATCTAATCTACCAGCCAGCAGCGCGATGTGAGGGCGTCGCAACCCGTTGGGAGCCGGAGACCAAATAGACGGTTCATGCGCCTGTCGGTCCGTGAAGAACCAGGGGACCAACGCACCCTTGAAGTACAATGCCTCTCAGAGAGGGGCATGGAGCAGTGACTTTATTTAGTAGCGAGTCACATCAGCCTCGTCGCAGTATTGTTAAACAGACATTTGTGGCTTGCTATAGGAAGAACGCTTGCCAGGTGAAAACCAACCACGTCCTGGAACACTAACGCCGAACCATTCGCTGGAACGGGAAAAACCCGAACCACCCAGCTGGCACCACGAGGATGTTGTTCGGCAAGCCAGCCGGCAAGTTCCAGCCACATTGCGATGATAGTTGTACGTCTGGATTAGACCATTATTTAACACCTGCCTGCGATAAACCACAGTACATTTAAGTTGCAAAGGAAAGTGAAGACAGTCCCTTAGTTCTTTGACTGCATGCCGGGTGGAATAAAGTAAAACATTCAATATATCCTTAGCTGGTCTATGCGAATCGATTCTGCCACCCGACTGGCAATCAACAGAGCAGCAATATTTTTCCATCGATATGCACACCACGTGCCATTAAAGTGCATGTGGTGACGCAAACGCGCCATGTGGACAGTGCTGGAGTGGCATAAAATCTGCACACAACTGCTCGCAGCGGATGTCAATGACGACCACAAAATGTCTGTCACCCGCTATCCTTGCTGAGTTTGACCTTGTCAAATGTCTTATCAAACCCACATAAATGCGTGATCGTTTTTTGATAGATGCGGGTACTATAGACCGAAGTGTTTTGTTCTCAGCCTCCTAATGTATACACCCCTCTGAGGAACAACAATTGGAGATAGGGTTGAACAAATTTTAGCTATCCATGTAATCATCAGAGATCAGTATGGTACTAAAAAGCCGTGTAGGGATCGTCAGCAATGCACAACACCACAGTTCGATGGTGGTTGAAATCGTGACAGTTCTTGCAAGCAGGGACTCATTCGTGAGCTATGACGGGCGCAGTTAACCGATAAGATTGAATGACTGGTTATAAGATAGCGCTGATCCTTCTCGATTGCTGTGCAGTGAAAAGGGTGTTTTCGTCCACCCAGCAAGGGCTGTGGTCTCGGCAAGAAACAAGCGCTCGTGCAACATAGAGAAAGGACGCTGCATTCGCTACGAAACAGTCGAGATACGTAGTCTAAGCAAAGCGGATCGAGGAGGAACTGTCGTGAGCATACGTTTACTTAGACCTCAGTAGTAGTGAACTCCATACGTTTAATTAGCCCCTATCCTAATCCTTAACACTCACTATCGGGATAGGGTAACACATGTAGTCCTTTTCGGTATTTGTGGTTTTGGGGCACAGCTTATTGTTGGAACCGGTTTGTTCATGAGCAGAAGAGGATAGCTGTAAATCAGGTGTTTTGTATGCGTGAACAAATTGTGATGGATGGAAAGGGCAAATGTGTGTCATCCATATTAGAATAAAAGGCGCACAAATTTTCCGCGTTGTGAGGAGTACTCGAGCAGCAAGAAGTAGTAGATCGGACGTGATTGCAGCGATCCCAATGAGAGCCAGTGGCAGATGAAAGCGCGTAGATCTAAGCGTCATGTTAGGAAAGGTGAGTCCAGGCAGCCGTATCCTGCAGCTATTCCACCCTCGGTGAATTCCGCCAGCTTGGTTCTTAACAAGTGACCAGCATGTTCGTTTAAGTAGACGGTGTCACCGCGTCTGAAAGGTTATAGTGCAAGACAGTGAACAGAGTACCACATTACAATAAACATACCATCTGAAAAATTCCCTGATGCATTCTATGATGGTTCTTCGATACCAATACGAAGATTGCAGCCCAGAATTTCCACTAGAATTAATATTAGTTATATAGTTAGTTATATTTCATGCCAAGCACTGTAGCCCTTGATAAGCATTATGTACCTGGGTTCCAAACAGCTACGGGTTACACGTACCTTTCAAAAGGTAAAATCAAGCAACATATGATTTGGATTCTAACACCTGGTGGAAAATAAAGAGCACATAGACAATATCGAGTGTCTTATAGAACAACCTCCCCGTGGGACCAGCTAGGTGATTCAGAATTATCTTGCTCCAACAATTGACCCAGCGGCAGTGTCTCAGGATGTTGTGAGATTTTTCTTAACAAGCCTTCTCATAAAATTCACATATCCCTCTTTAACAACGCTGTGATGTGGCGTGTGTGAATCGCAAATAAATAGTCATTGCCACTTGTTGCACACTGATGAAGCAATGTATTTCCGCAGTCCGCTTACTGAAATTGTAGAGAAGCTTAGACCCTTGAGCCAAAGGCTCGGGGTAGTGACCCCTGAGACAACTTCTCACTTCGTCTTGGACAAGCGCGTGGTATCGCGCCCCTCCAACCAACACGGATTCCGAAACTATTGGCACGTTGCTCTTTTCTTTTTAACTACGTATGCCCTAGCATAGCAGCTCACTCTGGAGACTTTCACAAGCCCTACCAGATCATTCGGATCACTGACCACAGATCTGACGTCAATGACGCTATTCGCAAAATTGATAGAGCACTGGTTTTCATAGGTACATGGACCACTGGACTGAGAAATTCCACACACAATGCAGTTGGTCTTCTTCGTCCACCTGCCTAACAAGTATGCCGTTGTGCGCCTTGGAAAGTTACAATGGAACTACCTACCAAAGCAGAGATTTGTCTTGAGCTCCAATTTGAAGCGATTCAAGGTTGCTGGGTCAGACGGACTTCATCTGGAGTTTCTCTAGTAAGATGGTAAGGTAATTGTCAACCGGCTAACAGCTCTGTTTCTCAGAATTTAGCGTGAGGAAAAGCGTCGATCCTCTTGGGGCAATTATCGTCGCGATCTTCAATAAAATGCCCATGCCGTATGCTCTAATTATGTTCAGAACCATAACGTCATCATCGCAGCAGTGCATCAGATATTTGTAGTGATATCACACCACCGTACAACCTCATTGACCAAAGGGATGAAGAATAATAAGAAAGGAGAGCCTGGAGTAAAACCCAAGGCGCCTACACCTCGTCAACGACATGCGACCGTCAACTGCAAAGTATCATGTAAAGAGAAGACGGCATGCGCGTCGCTGATCTTCCAGTGTCACTCGAAGCTTACTGAGATACTGGTGCACAGCACTCTGGTTTTACTGCTTTGAAATTCGTTATAGAACCAGTTGCGAGCCAAAGCGTTTTGCTCTTCCAGTCGTACTTTGTCAGGCACTGGGTATGTGCCAAGAACATGGTCAGTTTCTTATATCCGAAGACTTCATTCGATTCGTCTGATCGCGCTTGTTTGTGGAGATGTTCGCCTACTAAAAACATTCCAGGACGTAGCAGCAGGTGCCGTGGAGAGCAACCTTCTAGACTGGGATAAATGACGTGCTCCGAATACTCGCCGAGTACCTGCCAATGACGTTTGTATTCCAGCAAGACTGTGCACATTGACTAGGCATGGATTTGGTTGGGCAATACGAATTATTGGACAAAAGTGGCTAATAGTGCTTGCGCTCGCTGTCTTCATGAATAAGTCACAAGTGACTGGCTAAGCGTTTAGTATAATGTGCTGCCGCAATTATGTTTTCCCAGGTATCTACTTAATTCATGTATTCCTTACTATTTTAATCGTCGATACTCTCTAGAGTGACGAAAACCATCACCAGAATCAATACACGTTAGTAAAGGGTGAGAAACACAGCTCAGTGAGCGCGTCCTTAACAAAATCTACGCGTCTGGATGATCAAGCCTCGTTGCGAATCCAGGACACAAATGAGTGAAAATAAACTGTTCTGGCTACCGTTTCAATGACTAGAAGTTACGTCTGGTCATCCAGAGATACCCATATGATTACAGTAAAGCACAAAACTAGCTTTCGTGGTGTTCGGGGATCATGATTAACAGCACGGTGATATGGTTTGCTCCGGTTAACGTACTGGAGGAAACTGAGAACAATCCATTTATTAATAATAGGCTTAAGACATTAGCATACCGAGGTGAAGGAGATTAATTTTGCGTCGACTGAATTAGTGTTGCCCTATATACTTTAACAGGAAGAAGCAAGGCATCACTTGCAGAAAGGATTTGTGGACTAAGTTGATCTGTTTTACCTTTCAGAGAGCTATGGCTCAATGAAAAGATGAAGAATAGGTGAAAATATCAACGCAGTGAAAACAACGTACGCGACAAATGCGCCGAAGATACCCAGTTCACTGACCATCAGGTGGGGCCCCGGCGGCTTCTGTGGATGAACCAAGTAGTTCTCAACGACGTACGGGTAAAAACGTTCCATAATTACGTATGAACGAGAATCCCCTCGCGCCATTATTTGCCTCAACCTTTCAATAAGTTCTTCTGAAAAAAAGGAAATGTCTGTATAGTTACTAGACTAATCTCGAGGATGCGCGTGAAGGAAAGTCGTTTGCATGATTCTAATAGGCCTATTAAGTTATACTGAAAAGCACTGCATATAATATCAACTGTCTAAACAATAGATAGCCATCAAAAACCATAGAATAGACGTGCGTAATAAACACTAGAATCACAAGAGGAAAAAGATAAAAATATGGTGCTTTGTGTCTTTCACGCGGTTTTAGCTTTTTACCAGATTAAAGATTGCGGTGTTGACCCGTGGAACCAAGACACAAATCTACGAAAAACGTTTCGCTAAGCTCGATCCCGCACTGCCCACAAAAAATTTCAGCCAACGATGTTCTTTGTCAATTGATCCCCAGTCCGGAAACGCATGAGACTGATGATGGTTGGAGTTGAAGTGAGCGCTTTGATATTTTGTAGCGCGATTTCTTCCAGTGCGGCCCTGTGCGAGTGAATAAAGCGGCCATCTCCATTGGCGCAACCCATCCTGTCGAGTGGGAGACTCGCCGGTGTTCCCGCCACACACGAGCGATTCTCCGCAGACAACCATTGCCGAGGGCTAAAATTAGACGCATTTCATTCACATGAAGGGACTGACCTAGGTCAGGTTGGTGAGTGTCGTCTCTGTGGACGAAGGCCCCGGTATGGACCACATCAGTGGTACGAGGTTTTATCGGACGTACCGTAGTTAGTGGCGTTCCTATATTCGGTTTCTTGCATCCAGCTGTTAATTTTCATCTCATCCCGATTGGTTTGACCCATCTCCTGCCTGATTCCATTTTCTTTACGTTCTATTTGTCTTCAATCTCATTTTCTTACCGTTGTCAGGCGGCTTTATGCTGGCGATGTGAGTTGTGGCAACTGGATTCCCTGCACTTCGGATCATAGTTATTTGTCTGAACTGAACTAACAGAGCATGAATGGGTCGGGAATCATTTCCGGGTCATTTTGTTCCATCACGGTTCAGTACCTTCGAGAATCTCTGCGACACTGAGGGGAAATCTCTAGTAGCTGCTCTTGCTAGTCGCAACACCTATGACGGGCTGAAGGTAGCAACTAAATTGTGTCTCCGAGTTCGATTTTATCCTGCGCTGTGTAAGCAGAATGATTCATGAAGGTAAGGAGTCACTAGTGGTTTTTCGGTTGCGAATGGCGATAAAACGCAGTTAGTAGATACTGTGGGTGCACCCACAATGGGATGGGAAATGAGAAAAGAAAAAGAGGGTCATCGTGATAGCTCACGGAAGGCAAAGTGAGGTGAGTGTGACATAATACATCTGAAAAGCGCAGTGAGATGGTGGATGCATGTGTTTATTTCGGAATCAATTTGCGAGCGTTAAGATGCCAAGCTTAAGACGAAAAGATTCTAATCACTGATCGAACGAAAATTAATACATTGCTAAACTAATTAATAGCAAAAGATTTTCAGGCAACCGGGGCATAAGCGCAGTGAGCATAGTATTGATTGCGGGACCAATGTCATAGACAGAATAGACAGAACACCGATCATCTGAATGAAGAAATTTATTACAGTGAGTATGTGGGGTACTAACAACTTGCGCAGGCTTCATGATTACACAAGGAACTGAATTGCTCGTTAGAAGCACTAAATGACAACAAACAGCCTTTGTAGAGGTTAATTTGATGCTCCGGACTAGGCTGCTTCATACCAATCTCCACTTTGCTATTTCACCGGGAAAATATACCTGTTATTATTTATTATATTACTATTATTATTATTAAACTGGATTGAACTCGCGTCACACGTTTGAAAGCATTCATCAGTACGATATAGGCAATTATGTGCCTCACCTTGCTTGCATCTGGGTGACGTTTATTCTTCACTACGTATACTCGGTCGCTGTAAAGGGCACTGAGCATCTAGCAGTCTGTTTTCTCAATGAGCTCTTCGAACTCGACATGAGGCTGGACAACCTCTTTGAAGCATACGGTGGAGTCTGGAGGGCTCATTCTAATTGACGAAACAAGTGCATGCGCTGGGAAACCTCCATTCATCTACAATCTAGACAGGATACCCATTTGAACACTTCTACCGCTGCAAATTTCATCGCAATGAGACTGGACCTTACCGTGGTGCGATGATTTGCGTGCCTCGGTGATCCATTGAGCTATACTGGGTGGTGCTTTTTTGCACCTTCAGAGCCACTGATACCAAATTGTCAAGGGTTAGAGGCCAGACAAACTCAGGCTCCTGGTTCTCCAGGTTGGGGGTTGGGAAGAGGGGGGCTCCTTATTCCTTAAAACAAACTCCTTGTAGCCCACCGCAAACCCGCTGCCTTACGGTCAGGTTTTTGAACCAAAGACATTGGTTGAGAACCCTAATCGTTCTCCTGTCTTGGCCTGGGCAATCTGACAGTATCCTGCCAATTTCTTGATGCTCTGGCCACCGCAGAGGATAATCAATCGTGCCCTATCTGCTGCATCGAGCAGGGTAGATAGGGGTCCGGATGCTACTAGCAAGCCTTTCCAACTTCTTATTTCCCCTCTAACACTTTTTTTATCCTTATCGTCCCGGTCCAACTTCACTTTTATCCCCCCCTATTTTCAACCCCAATTCTTGGCCCTCCCCCAACATGCTTTGACAGGTGTATATCTTCTAGCTTCAACTCGCGTACAAACGCGGATCGTCAATCCTGCCCTGTCGACAAACATATGTCCAACTAAGCGGTCCACCCCAGTTTATCGGCTTCCATTTGGAGCTCTCGATCCTCCTTCAGACTGGCATGCGTCAATGTATGCACATTGCTACAGATCAGTCAACAGGCAGCACTTGCCCGAACATAAGAGACCCGGTCGATAGATATCTGCTGCATATCAGAGAGCCGTCTGCAAGACTCGAGCTCTGTGCTCATTCTGCGATCCCTTTCAGGTGACACCAGCAGTACTTTCTCATTGCGCCTATCCGGCGACCATGCAGCTTTGAGCACCGGCCAAGCCGATGTTGGAATTGCCCTGAGTCCCCGGGCAGAAGCTGCTCTGGTTGATTGGATCCCAATCAGTAGCCGGATGTGTGCGGTCCGATTAGCTGCCTCGTTCAAACTCGAAGTCGCACGGGACTAACAGGTGTCTATTGGTCATTGATGCCTACGCGCCCACAAACGCTAGCGATGATTCGCTAAAAGACAACTTCTACCACAAAGTGAACGAGCTCCTTCGCCACAGAAGAAGCACGGACACTGTTGTGCTAACTGGGGATCTGAACGCTCAAGTTAGAAAATTAGCTACCGACGAACTGCATCTGAGCGGCCAACACGATGTATGCTCCCGTAATGACAACGGTGAGAAGTTAATTCATTTGTGTGAAGATGCTCGCTTATTTCTTGTGAGCACTAACTTCCGACACAGTATACGCCAGAGGGTGACTTGGCGCCCAACAGCGTTGAACCAGCCATGGACACAAATCGATCACGTTGCAATCAGTTACCGCTAGATAGGCTGCGTCCAGAACAGTCGCTCGATTTGGAGCCCATGTGGGGACACAGACCATGCACTTGTATGTGCTGACCTGCAGGTGCGTTTTAGCGGACCCCCACGATGACACTGTGAGCGCATTGACACCAGTCAACTGGTAAAGCCATTTGTTCCGAATGCGTATCGAAGTACGCTGACATGCGGGCTGAGTAGGCGCTCACTGGATACAATTCCAGGTCACTGGTCTCACATTCACCAAACCTTCCAAGCAGTAGGCAAATCCTCATGAGGTAAGTCTAACAGCCAATATGGTCATTGGGTCTCTTCGCGGTCGATGGAACTTTTCGATGCTCGCCAGCACATTCCGGCTGGTAGCGAACACAATGAAACTCACAAAGACCTCAGGGCAAAACTCCAGGCTAGCCTGAAGAGAAACCACGAATCTTGGTGGTCTCATCGTGCATCAGAGATGGAAATGGCCGTCTGATACGGTAAACGGGTAGCAATAGACCTGGTGTTAGTGAAACCATACGTAACAAGAGTAAACAGCCTATCCACAACCTGTCAAAACGTTTGGAGCGTTAGGCTGAGCATTTTGGAAAGCAATTTAATCGGCTAGAATTGTTAAATTTCTCACCGACCAGTGCTCGCCCTGCTACCTGGGCTGTCCCTCTGGATCCGCCCTCTCACTCAGAAGTTGAACGTGAGATCGGACTGTTGAAGTTGAATAAAGCCGCAAGCCCAGAAGATCTTCAACTATCCCTCTTCACGACTTACACGAATTACTAGTGAAACTGTAGGAGCAGAAAATTGTCCCAACCGACTGGAGCCGCTCCGCTATTGTCCAGATCTTCAAAGGAGGCTCGCATTCAGAATGCGACAGCCATAGAGGAATCAGTCTGATCCCGATCACTTCCAAGTTACTTGCCTCTTTAATCCTTCACAGACTGACTGGCAGTCGTGAAAGCCATATTCGTGAGGAGCAAGCCGGGTTTCGTCCGGGTCTTGGCTGCATTGACCACATCTTCACTTTGTGTCAGCCGTTGGAGCACCGTCACATATATTGGCGGCCCACCGTTGTCGTGTTCCTCGATATCAAAGGTGCATTCGATTTGGTTAATCGATGTGCCCTGTGGGACTGTCTACTCAGGAAAGGTGTGCCCGAGAAATTTGTAAACATAATCCGTGCACTATACACGCGTAGCTCGACCAGGGTGAGGGCTTACGGCAAGTTGTCGCCGCCTTTCAATATCACCAGCGATGTGAGACAAGGATGCCCGCTGTCACCTTTCCCCTTCAACTTCACTATTGACGGTCATGGAAATGGCGTTCATAGGACACGACTTAGGTGTGGAGCTACTCCCAGGAGACCGACTTCTTGACTTGGAGTATGCAGATGATATTGTCCTCATCTGTGACAGCTCCCAGATGTCGTAAGCAGCACTGGACAGCACTGGCTGTCAGCCGCTTCGGGCTTTGCTTTGCAATCCCGAAGTTGCATCAGCGATCTCGAGATCGAAGATGAGATCACGAACCGGAAAGCAAAAGCTCGAGACGTTTTTGCAAACGTTCGCCATTTATGGCGCCGGCGCGACATCACTCTCACCCTGAAGGGTAGTGTACAATGCAGCAGTACGTTCGACTCTACTGTACGGTTGTGGAACCTGGCCCCTTAAAGCAGCGGACCTGAAGAGGCTAGTTACGTTCGACCACCGGTGCCTTCGCAGTTTGGCTCACATCTGGTGGGAACACCGAGAAAGCAAGGAGCGTGTCTGGCGCTTTGTTTACGGCACAGGAAAAGGAAATGAACCGCTCAGCACCGTTATTTCACGCATCAGGCTCTGATGGCTTGGCCACGTGTTACGCATGCCAGCCCACCGCCTCCCGCGACGTGCGTTGTTTGCGCGCCAGGGGTGTGGATGGAAGATGGGGAGAGACGGTTAAGCGATGCCTTGGTCGGGAGGAATGAAGGTTCTCACTTCGAAGCTGGTCTCGATTGGAGCTTCTCGGCTCCTTGGTTAGGGTTAGAAAGACGATGAACACGTTTGGCTGGATACAGTTGTTGACACAGCCAGGAGCCGACCTCAATGGTGTTGGTGCTGTGAGTTTCTTCATCTCTCCCCATTTCTCTTAGCCTTCCCCTTCAACCATGATCTCATATTTTAGCATAATTTTATATAGTAATCTTTTTGTTGCCTAGTCGGCCGCTGGTAGTTTTCCGGCATGCAACTGTTGCATTTGTTTCTTTTGTGAATTGCGGCACAGTAGCTGAGGTGGTTTCCACCAGCTAACGTGTAGAATGATGAAGGATGATTGCTGTAAACCAATCGTAACAATGATGTGTGACACCAATCATTCGTCGCTGGTCCAGACAGATTCACCTACCTGGATTATCCTGATGAGTTACATTTTATTCCTACTTATTCCTAGCCTATTCCCAGACTACATCTAAATGCGCAGGTAGCATACTTCTACCTCAAACTTCCAAAGCTGTGGTGGAGCGTCCCTTTCCGATATTCAATTTATCCAGCGTGTGATGAGTGTCATACCAGAGTGAACGGACGGGCCAAACGAGCGAGCCATTTAGACAATGGGAGGCAGGTGCAACTGATTTGATTGTTCGACATTCATGTAAGTTAATCATCGTTGGTTTAACTGAGTCAAAGGAAGAACCTCATTGCCTCAGAAGGGTTATTAGTTATGAACGTGAACGCGTAACTTATATCGAGGAGTTTAGCTTGTCAAACGTGCTGTAATTTTCGCCGGGTTGTCTTTGCCGAATAAACGCTTGTCCCTGAAGGACTGTGTTCTGCAACACATCTCTGACTACATTTTCCCGTAACTCAGGTATCATGTGAGACAAGGTCCTGTATGACTTCCACTTTTTCTGCTCATGCAGAAATGAGGGGGATACTCTGTAATAAGAACTACAAAGTAGACACATAATTACCACAATAAATGAATCAGAGGTCATGTTGTGTGCAATTTCTCAAGCGATAGCTATTAGTCGATCAGTTGAAAAATGATGCCTCCGATCGATTTGGTTCTGTTCAACGCTGGCCACAACGCAGTTCATTGTTGGGGTGTGCGGCAGTTCGGCACACGAACTCAGAAAGTGTGTGTGGCTGAGAAATCTGCAGTTGTTCTACGAATGAGAAAATGGGAGCGTTGCCTATGAGCGTGGTTTGTAGTGGCTAGACGGATGTCTGACACTAACTCACAGTTGCATTACAAACCGGATGCACCAAGAGGCTTCATAAATTCGACTGACCAATCCGCACGATCGCGGTAGTCAGGTGAGCTTGCTGGACACGATGAGTATCGATGATACGCTCCACTATCTCCTGTATATTCCTTCAGATAGACATGAAAAGCTGAAAACTTGCAATTCGTCTGAGTAAGTAGATTATCGCGATAAGACGCGGTAGTCGAGTTTCATCCATCGCAATGAGGCTGGACCTTACCGTGGTGCGTTGGTTTGTGTGCCTCAGCGATCCATCGAGCTATGCTGGGTCGTGCTTTTGCACCTTCAGAGTCACTCATACCAGATTGGTCAATGGTTAGAGGCCAGACAAACTCAGCCTCCTGGTCCTCCAGGCTGGCGGTTGGAATGAGGGTGGCACCTTATTCCTTAAAACGGACTCCTTGTAGCCCAACGCCAAACCCGCTGCCTTGCGGCCAGGTTTTTGAACCAAAGGCTTTGGTTGAGAACCCTAATCGTTCTCCTGTCTAGGCCTGGGCAACCTGACAGTATCCTGCCCACGCAATACCATGAATCTTACCTCAAACAAATTGCTGATGCTCTGGCCACCGCAGAGGATAATCAACGGTGCCCTATCTACTGCATCGAGCAGGGTGGATAGGGGTTTGGATGCTACTGCTCAAGCCTTCCCGTCTTCTTATTCCCCATCGTACGCTTTTCACTCTTACCGTCCCGTTCCAACTTCACGTTTATCCCCCCAGTTTTCAACCCCCCGATTCTTGGCCCTCCCACAGCATGCTTTGCTAGACATTTACCTTCTAGTTTCAACTCACATGTGAACGCGGAGCGTCACTTCTCTCCTGCCGACAAGCCCATGTCCAACCAAGCGGTCCACCCCAGTTCACCGGCTTCCATTTGGAGCCCTCGATCCTCCTTCAGATTGGCATGCCTCAATGTACGCACACTGCTACAAATCGGTCAACAGGCAGCACTTGCCCGAACATTGGAGACCCTCTCGATCAATATCTGCTGCTTATCAGAGACCCGCCTGCAAGACTCGAGCTCTGTGCTCACTCTGCGATCCCCTTCAGGTGACGCAAGCAGTATTTTCTCATTGCGCCTATCCGGTGACGATGCAGCTTTGAGCACCGGCCAAGCTGGTGTTGGCATTGCCCTGAGTCCCCGGGCTGAAGCTGCTCTGGTTGATTGGATTCCAATCAGTGTATGCGGGTGTGTGCGGTCCGACTGGCTGGCTCGTTTAAAGCTTCGAAGTCGCGCGGGACTAATAGGTGTCTATTCATCATCGCTGCCTACGCGCCCACAAACTGTAGCGATGATTCGGTAAAGAACGACTTCTACCGCCAAATGACTCAGCTTCTTCGCCACAGAAGAAGCACGGACAGTGTTGTGCTGGCGGGGGATATGAACGCACAAGTTGGAAAGTTGTCCACTGATGAAATGCATCTGGGCGGTCAGCACGGTGTAGGCTCCCGTAATGATAACGGTGAGCGGTTACTTCATTTGTGTGAAGATGCTTGCTTATTTCTTGTGAGCACTAACTTCCGACACAGTATCCGCCAGAGGGTGACTTGGCGCCCACCAGCCTCGAACCAGCCTTGGACGCAGATGGATCACATTGCTATTAGTTACCGCTGGAGAGGCTGCATCCAGAATTGTCGCTCGATTTGAAGCACATGTATGGACACCGATCATGCACTTGTATGTGCTGACATGCTGATGCGTTTTGGCGGACGCCCACGACGACGCTGTGAGCGCATTGACACAAGCCAACTGACAAAACCAGCTGTTCTAAATGCGTATCGAAGTACGCTGACATGCGAGTTGAGTAAGCGCTCACTGGAGACAATTGATGGTCACTGGTCACATGTTCGCCAGACCTTACTAGCAGCGGGCAAATCCTCATGTGGTATGTCTAATAGCCAACATGGACACTGGGTCTCTTCTCGGTCTCTGGAACTTAACGACGATCGCCGGCATATCCCGGCTGGAAGCGAACACAATGAAACTCGCAAAGAGCTCCGGGCAAAACTCCGTGCTAGCCTGAAGAGACCGCGAATCTTGGTGGTCTCATCGTGCGTCAGAGATGGAAGTGGCCGTTGCCCTTGGCAACCATCGTAAGTTATTCCGTCTGATACGGGAAACGGGCAGCAGGAGACCTGGTGTTAGTGAAACAATTTGTGATGAGAGTGGACAGTCTATCCACAATTTGTCAAAACGTTTGGAGCGTTGGGCTGAGCATTTTGAAAAGCAATTTAATTGGCTAGAATTGTTCGATTCGCCGGTCACTGATCGCCCTGCTCCGTGGGCTGTCCCTTTGGATCCACCCTCTCGCTCAGAAGTCGAACGTGAGATCGGACTGTTGAAGTTGAACAAAGCCGCGGGACCAGACGATCTTCCTCCAGCCCTCTTCAAATTCGGAGGCTCTGCTCTTGTTGATGCTTTACATGAATTACTAGTGAAACTGTGGGAGCAGGAAACTGTCCCAACCGACTGGAGCCGCTCCGTTATTGTTCCTATCTTCAAAGGCGGCTCGCGCTCGGAATGCGGCAACCATAGAGGAATCAGTTTGATCTCTATCGCCTCTAAATTACTCGCCTCCATAATTCTTCACAGACTGACTGGCGTTCGTGAAAACCAGATTCGTGAGGAGCAAGCCGGGTTTCGTCGGGGTCGTGGCTGCATCGACCACATCTTCACCTTGCGTCAGTTATTGGAGCACCGCCACACATATTGGCGGCCCACCGTAGTCGTGTTCCTTGACATCAAAGGTGCCTTCGATTCGGTTGATCGATGTGCCCTTTGGAATTGTCTACTCAGGAAAGGTGTGCCCGAGAAATATGTAAATATTATCCAAGCATTATATGCGCGTAGCACGGGCAGAGTGAGGGCTTACGGCAAGCTGTCGCCACCCTTCAATATCACCAGCGGTGTGAGACAAGGATGCCCGTTGTCACCTTTCCTATTCAACTTCGCTATTGATGAAGTCATGGAGTTTGCATTTACAGGACATGACTTGGAAGGTGTGGAGCTACTCCCAGGAGAACGACTTCTTGGCTTGGAGTATGCAGACGACATTGCCCTCATCTGTGAAAGCTCCCAGACGTGCCAAACCGCGCTGGGCAGATTAGCACTGGCTGTCAACCGCTTCGGGCTTTGCTTTGCACCATCGAAGTGCAAAGCATTCCTCCAAGATTGGCAGGGATCGCCTCCTGCGCTGACCCTTGGTGGGGATCAGCTAGAAGTCGTTCAGAAATTCAACTACCTGGAAGTTGTATCAGCGTCCTTGGGATCGAAGACGAGATCACGAACCGTATAGCGAAAGCTCGAAGTGCTTTTGCTAATCTTCGCCACCTATGGCGCCGGCGCGACATCACTCTCGCCCTGAAGGGTAGAGTGTACAATGCAGCGGTACGTTCGACCTTACTGTACAGTTGCGAAACCTGGCCCGTAAGGTCGGCGGACATGAAGAGGCTAGCTACGTTTGACCGTCGGTGCCTTCGCAGTTTGGCTCACATATGGTGGGAACACCGCGTGAGTAACGAGCGCGTTCGACGCATTGTTTACGGCCCAGGAAAAGGATCTGAACCGCTCAGCACCGTTATTTCACTCACCAGGCTCCGATGGCTCGGCCACGTGTTACGCATGCCAGCCCACCGACTCCCTCGACGTGCGTTGTTTGTTCATCGGGGATGTGGGTGGAAGAAGAGGAGAGGTGGCCAAGCGATGACTTGATCGAGAGGAATGAAGTCTCTCACTTCGGAGCTAGCCTCGGTTGGAGCGTCTCGGCTCCCTGGTTGGGGTCCAAAAGACGGTGAACACGTTTGGCTAGATACAATTGCTGACATGGCAAGCAGCCGACCTCAGTGGCGTTTGTGCTGTGAGTTTCTTTGTCCCTCCCCATACCTTTTAGCCTCCCCCTCCATCTCCGATATCATTTCTTAGGGTAAAACATAATAAAAGAAGTTTTTTCTTTTGCCTAGTAGCTGGCTGGAAGCTTACCGGAACCATACCTATCCGTTGCTGGTAGCTCAGCTGACATGCAGCTGTTGTATCTATTTTTCCTTTGTGTATTGTATTATATGTATGTTTTTACTTCATGTATTGCGGCACAATAGCGGAGGTGTTTTCCCACCTCTAGCTGATGTGTATAATGATGATGATGAGTCGAGTTTCATCATCCGTTCCCCGTTCCGGCTGGGTGGAAACGTGAGGCCCAACTATCGTCACGCGTACAGTGTTGCATGTGAATCATACAGGAGAGTTGAAGATAAGCCGTGTAAAAGGGCCAATAAAAAATGAACGGACGGAGGAGCTTATTGTTGTGGTGTAGAAGCTGGCGTAACCACTAATTTCACAAAGCAAGCCGCTTCGAATCCACATGAGATGCGTACCCAGCCACTTCCCAAAGCCGGATAAAAGGCATTTGACAAAACGTATAGTGAACACTTACCAAATATCATGTACGGCCAAAAGATGGGATTATATAAGTAAATAACAATTAATAATGACCTAGGTGAAAGTTTCCGGATTTTAGCAATCAACAGATGTGTAAAAATTCGCTTGTTGGTTACTCAGCTAGTGCGCTCACTGGAGGAATTCAAGGTAGGTTATCCTCATCGGCGGACTTCAAGGTTAAACGCCCGCATTGACTACTCAATCAGCCTCACGCTGCGCTGCGCTAATCTTTCCCGGGCTGGCAGCGATAGGACCGCCTCCGAGGACTGCGATTAACGAGCACCCTTAACAGGCTGAAGTTCGGGTAGACAACTCAAGGCCGCATTAAGCTCAAGCGTCAACAGTTTGGATACATCAAGATGACAATTGAGCTTCTTGTAGAAATGCAACGGCTATTTGAGAAGTCCGGAACATGCTTGCATCAACAGCAGAATTTCAGGACCTGCTAAAGCGGCCCCTTTTCCACCGTCAGATAGTATCAGCGACACTCGCTCTCACCCCTTCACGAGAGCAGAAAATGCGCACCTCAAACAAGCTGTTGCTCGTCAATTGGGTGAACGTGTACTGGACCAGATTCCTTCTCAAGCGAATGATGAATAAAATTCAATCCAGTGATACGATCGCTCCATGAAATGCTGCAGCTAATAAGGCATCTCGGCAGTGACGGCACAAATTTGTGGTTTCGCCACCGGCGGTATCAGTACGTGAGTCTAAGCGAGAATGGAATGTGCAACGCAAGACAGCAATTTGCAGCGCCCGTAAATATGATACGCGTAATCCAGCTTGTCTAAGTTCACAAACGAACCGCCAATAATGCGAAGAGGATCGAGAAGTTCCCAGAATTCAATAGTTTCTCGGGATAAAAGAGGAACACTACTCACAATGAAAACATACCATCAAAGTAATTATTCCCACCACCCTCTCGCTGTGGCTTCAACACATAACGGTGCGGATCGTTCTGGCAAGCCTGGATGATGCGGTCGATCTCCTCGGTGTCCGATAACCCGAACACATCGCTCAGCGTATACTGTTTGGCGAAGGTAGAGAGTATGCGCTTGAAGGAGTCGCTGTTCGGGTCTAAAAAGCGCGACAGTATTGCCGGTTTCGACAGAGCGGCCTGAACCAGCTTCGTATTGGCTAACATGTACTGGATGCAAGGGCACTTGATTGCCATAGAGCGCTCGAGCTGATACTTGACATCCCAAATCTGAAAAGAGGATGGGTTAGGCTAAATTGAGGGCAACCCCGATTGAGTCGAAAGCACAGAGAACGCCATACAAAGATACCCAAAAGCTTCCAGGTAGTCACGTTATAACCACACAATGATGTGCTGGGTCCGGATAGACACGAGCATGCGTTACAATGAGTACACAAATGTCCACATGAATGAATATATTGACAATGCACCAGAGCCTTTCTCAAAACAGGCGGTGGTGGTTAGCAAACAGCAATCGACTAGTGAAGGCAAATGAGCCAGTTGCCTAGGGAGGTGTTGCGAAGTGGTGATAGCGGCTCCGGACGCATCACCTATGCAGAGTGATAACCGCTACAGTACATTCACCCAGCTGATCAACAAATCTACGAACGACAGTGCCGGCTTATGTTAGAGGTATGGCGCAATTAGTAACTGGGGAAAAGGTATCAGCAGTACGCAGGGCCTTGTACCCACGTTTCGTTATCATGTAACCATAGGTGGCTGCATGCAGGCTGAAATACTGCGAGGCTGCTCACACCGGTGATCAGTGGAGAACAAACAAAATGCCCACATCACTACGTCAACAAGAACACAACAATTAGAGAAGCGAGGGGTACAGACATTGGCATAGAGTAACGGATAGACCACAGTGGACCAGTCATGCCGACTCTGCTCTGCTACCTTAGACAGCCACGATCCGGGTGTCAAACTACAAAACATTCGGTCGGAACGGCCTGCATTGCAATAGTAACGGAAACATAATTGAAGGAAATGGAGGAGAAAAAGAATGCAAATATTCAGGCATATCAAGGGGACCAAAAATAGTCTGATTGTCAGAAGGAAGGGTCAGCAGTGAGAAACAATCGGTAGGATGCGGAAGCATTATTGGCTCAGCGAATACGCCCCGTCCAAAGGAGTCGCTAAGCACCGAACCGGTCTATTTGCTAGGGTCCAATCACAGAAAATGGCACTTACCAACTTGTCCGAGATCAACGTCAATTTTTTCATATATTTTCATGCTATTGGCTAAAAATCCTGCTTCACCAAGACATGAAGTAGCGTCGAAGTGAAGAATGCAAGGAGTTGGTTCAAGTTCAAACTCGACCCCATGAGATGGTGGAGTTCGTGGTCGTGAATTAGCTGGTACGTTTCAATGATGCCCAATGATGCTCAAAACCGACCGCATACATTCCAATACCAACAACAAGGCTTTTATTGCACCCCGCTCGCTCTTCAAGCTAGCTACGCTCAATGTTCGAACGCTCATGCAGATTGGTACCTAAGCTGCTCTTGTGCGCACCTTGGAAATCCTCTCAAACGACGTTTGCTGCTTAAGCGAAACCAGTTTACAAGACTGCAGCACAATACTGCAATTGCACTCACCATCCCAAATTCTAAATGCACATTCACCCTGCGTTTATCTGAATATGCGTCAGCTGCAGTCTCCGGTTGCGCCGGCGTAGGAGTTCCGTTAAGCACGCGTGCTGAGGCACCGCTCATTGACTGGTTCCCTATGAACAGCCGTCTTTGTGAAGTCCGCATGGAAATCTCAGTGAGATCTTTCAGCCACGGGACCAGTAGGCGCGGCCTATTCATTGTGGTGGCGTAGGCTCCTACAGACTGCAGCCCGGACGAAGCTAAAGACGAGTTCTACCGCCAACTCACCGACCTCCTCCGCAAGAAACGCCGCACGGACATTGTGATACGCGCCGGAGACCTAAATGCGCAGGTCGGTAGAATAGAGGTTCATGAGCGCGAAGTTTGGGGTCAACACAGCCACGGTACTCACAGGAAGGACAACGGCGATCGACTCCTTAAACTGTGCGTCGACCACGGCTTGTTCCTTTCCAGCACTAATTTCCGACATTCGTGGCGCCAACGAGCCACCTGGCGATCTCCGGCGCCTGGTCAAGCTTGGACGCAGATTGACCACATTGCTGTTAGTTACCGTGGGCGACGCCGCATAACGGACTGTAAGTCAATTTGGAACTCTTACCTGACTTCAGATCAGGCGTTCGTGTGTGCTAAGTTCGTCCTGCGCTTTGGAGGCACCCAACAGCGTAGCCGGCAACGGTTTAACACAGACAAGCTCGCCGACCCAAATGCTTTCGACGCATTTCAGAACACATTAGCCTCTAACCTGCGTTCTCTATCCTCCGATGTTGAGACACACTGGGCACAGATCCAGATCGATGTACGAAAGTCCGCTACCCTAATCCGTGGCTTCACTAGACGAGCCGCTAGTCATTGGATTTCCGCACAATCTGTCCAATTAATGGAAAGCTTGCCGAAGCCAAAAGCTGTGTTCAATTCTTCAACGATTGTGTTGAGCGGAATGAATATCCTGTCAGATTTTGGAAGCAATTGTGCCGTAGTCGGATTTTCGATTTTTCCTCTATGTTACTTGTACTAACTGGTCGATTTTACTCTTTTCATTTTTAGTCCTATATATGATTGTACTGGTCTGATGATGAACTATTGAAAGCAATTGCTCACCAAACGGTTTCTTTGTTCTCCTTAAATCCATTTATTTTGGGAGTTGTCTTAGTATTGGCGGTTTGACAAGTGAGATCTCCCTGCGTGTCTCCAAGGCTAGAGTCGCTTTCGCTAACGCTCGTCACCTGTGGCTTCGTCGTGACCTCAGCGCCGCTCTCCAGGGACGAGTCTATAATGCTACGGTAAGAGCGATTCTACTGTACGGCTGTGAGACTTGGCCCGTTCGCAAAAGCGGTGTTCAACGGCTATCTGTCTTCGAGCACCGCTGCCTGTGAAGCATTGCTGGTGTTCGATGGCAGCATCACATCGGTAATGAGGAAATCCGTCGGCGAGTCTTCAGATCTAACGAACTCCGCCGATCGATTGATAGCATCATCTCACTGCGGAGGCTTTGCTGGCTTGGCCATGTGCTTTGCATGCCTACCCAGCGGCTACCAGGACGAGCCCTATTTGCGAACACAGGCGGAGCTTGGAAGCGACGAAAAGGAGGGCAATGTAAAACTTGGATTCAATGCGTTAAGACGAAAACGTTGAAGCTGGATGTTGTTGGGCATTCCCGACTCTCAGGTTGGGGACCAAAGGACCCCGAGCACATCTGGTTGCAAACGTTGGAAGGTATGGCCAAGGACCGTGCGCAATGGTGCACTTGGTGAGACTCTTCTACCTCAACAGTTGTTTTCCATTGCAATCCACTTTTTTCCTCTTATGTGTTGTGGCACTCAGCCAATTGTATTGTAATTGGTAAAGTGTTGAATATATATATATATATATATATATATATATATATATATATATACTCAGTGGTCGAAGCCTAACAGTCATAATGGACGTAGAACGAGGCTGCTATTTCTTTTGAGAGAAGGGTACGGCGTGGCTATGCTGCTACCTGGGAGAAATGTCCTCCCCTCCCGCTTACTGAGAGCTAACTCAAAAGGGACCTATAGTCAATGGTCAATGGTGTGTTGCGGATAAAAAAGCCGAAGCTTGACATGTCCCGCCAGATGACACAGTAATCCTAATTTCGGAAGAACCCGCTGAGGACTTGACGAATTAAGAGCCATGAGAACACTGTAAAGCGAAAGTACGCCTCTTTAACGAGTCAGGCAAGGGCTGTCTAGTTGCACATAACCCACCAACTACACCTGTGATAAGCACAGAAATTAAGACAAGAAGCCAAACTATTGTCTCACAAGAGATGACAAGCGGGAGTTCCATGTCTATACAAACACCCATAGTTAATACAGGACCGCAGCGGAATTTGTACCAAGCTAACTCATCTCGACAGCGATCGGTGGGGCCGCTGGGATGCCAAGCCGGCTGCGAAGTGCCATGTAGTTGAAACAAAACGCCAAGACCACATTGGGACGCGCTCCACTCACCGAGGAGTTTGTTGTCAACCGGTGAGCAGTCAAACGAAGAGATGATATAGCAACTGATGTCCAGTTCAGTTGTTCGGCTATCAGCCGTGCAATAAGTCCAGTTACTTTGACCGAGGTCGCTGAAAAAATAAAACGAGTAATAGGCGAAAAGAACAAGAATATGGGAGAAAGAAGAAAGTGTCAGAACAAGGGAAATGTACAGACAAAGTAAGAAGCGGAAACAAAGAAAGAATGCACAAGTGTTTAGAGCAGATCACATGCAACCTTAGAAGAGGTCTAACAACTTGTGGATGTTTTCGCCAGCAGTACACACTACACCTGCAAGCGCAGTCGGTAAAAAGTGAGTTTTAGCGAGTTGGCACCGCGTCGGAATAAGGCTGCTTGGTTAAGGTAGGCTGGGAAAAACTAGTGAACACCTACCACCCGAGATTGCTCGTGGTGTTCATGCTTCTCCCATTCGAGCTGTATTCCATGACTCGTAAATCTCAGTATCCTATGGAGAGGAAAGTCAGAGTAAGTTTGTCTGTATCTACACCACTAAGCTTTCTGATATGAGTAGAGGTATCATCTAGTGTAGCTCGATGGATCACAGAAACATACGAGCAACTATATCACGTCAAGCGTCAGTTATGTTGTAACGAGAAGAGAAAGCGACATAACTAGTCAAACGAGTAATGCGAAAGGATAACGGGAGATCGTTTCAATGTGGAGGCAGATGACACCAGTTGAAACGAAAAATTGTTTAAACTAAGGGATGTTAGAATTTCTAAAACGTAGATTCATGGTAGTTTTGAGGTTCGTTGCAGCAATATTCAGTTTGTGAAGCACTGTACACAATTGAAAAGGCCGAGCTATATAACACAGCAGCAGTTACGCCAATCCGACGCATCCGCCCCCATTCACAGTTCAGTGGTTGGTACATGTGAGTAGAAACCAAATTTCGAATCCTGTGTGTTGATGGATGCGCGCTATTGACGAGTCACAATAGAGTGAAATGGCCGTCGAGCGCTTTGCTTAATCTTCGGAATTGCTTGCTTTCAAGAGTGGACACTATTACAAATTTTGTCCTCTTTGGGCAGAAGTACCTCAAAATGTGGATAGGTATAAAAGCCCAGGCTACGAAGAAAACGGCTATCA